AAAAAGACTTCAAGATTGTATCATTGTAAGTGAAAAACCAAAGTTAAAGTCGTATGCAAATCAGAACAAATCTCTCGCTCAAATAAAGATGTGTTCAAGGCAATTATTTTCTATAATTGTGTTTACCTTATGAATTATTAATGAATTGCTGGATAAGGATTTATCCAGTGAATAGCTGTAATATTCATATGAATAGTAATGACCGCATGGCACTATGAGATACATGATATAGAAATAAGGGAATGTTATAGTGCTAGGAGGTAATTTGAATCCATGACCCTCAGATTTGTACTACTGACGCTCTACCAGCTAAGCTACAATGTCAGACTGGGAGCAGGTCGGGGTGAAATAGATGTTACACTGTAGGTTGTGGTAATTAAATTGTAAAGAGATGAATAGTAATGACCACATGTCACTAGAGTGCAAGTCACATAAGCATGGAACAATTCTTAACTATGTAGTGCTAAATAAGATTTAGTTATCAACTAAATAAGAATTGAGAGCAATGCTACAACGGAATTTAAATAATTGGCATTGTGTTTATGCTTTGTTGAATTCTTAGTTAGTTGATAACTAAATCTTATTTAGCAATACATATTGTTTCATGCTATTTGACGTGCACTCTATGGGATACATGATAAAGAAATAAAGGAAATAATATTCACCATTTGTACAACCTGCTCCCGATGCCCCTGTTGCTGCAATATACAATTTTTGTAAGTCCAGTATCCTAGTCATTTGATCACTGTGAATGGCTAGTGCGTGGGCCGCTTTTTCACGGTCTGCCCGGCATCCTGCAGCTAGGCTGCGAGCAAAGTTGCATAAAATACAAATAAAAAAAATAAAAATGTTATTTACCGACTATAGGTTGGTCCGTATAGGAAAAAACTGCCCTCTGTCTTCTATGTACGGATCTCGCTGCGCTCGTTCAGTACTGTCAAGACCTCGGGCAGTGTTTTCCTATATGGAACTCACAGACGGTAAATAACATATATATATTGTGCTTAATTTGAAATATTATATAATTTTCTAAGGTTATTATATCTCAAGGTTTTGAGTCATAGTAAAGTGAGTAATATCTCATGTTGTTGTAGAGTGGTCTACGTGGTAACCTAGAGACCCTTGTCACGCTGTATGCTGATAAGTTTTATACCTATGAGGATGATGTATTTGAAGCTTTGGAAAGCATCCGTGTACGTCAAGTGGGAGAGATGCAAGAACAGTTGCGACGGGGCCCAGAGGTAAGTTAAAGGACCTAAAAACCTTGATTTAATTCTTCGTTTGCAGGTTACGTCACAGCGGCCATCTTGGAGGAACTTTAACAAAGGATTTCTYAKYWRTATCWAYTGTYCATTCCTYCAAYATKGCCGCCGGTCTTTTATCTTTTGAATCTCATGGGAATGGGTGAAAACCATCAATAGTAGTGCCATAGGGGACATGACTTTAATCAATACATGACAAAACTGTTGTTGAGAATGAACCAAAACTGCATATAAAAGGCACCAGTTGTCCAATTTTTCTYTCCCAGCTTCATTGTATTTCCGGGTGTTGTTTAGATTCTGTTCCCTTGTTGTAATCCTTTGTTTCTATTGAATTWCRTAATCTGTGCTCCGGTACACAAAGCCAGTTTAAGTAATGTAAATCAGGAAAAATCTCTTGCTCATGCATATAAAGATTCAGCCACAAGAATGAATTTTCCATTAAAAAATACTTTATTTTAAGAGGGTAAACACGTGACAGTGAAGAACTGATGAACTTGTGGCCCTCTATACTCTCACACTCACTACCTCTACATTAAGTATTTTAGCACACAACMCTCCTCACATGTTGATTTTTGCTGAGGGAGGAAAACCGGAGGACCCAGAGAAAAACCCTYGTGGCAAGGGAGAGAACAACACATCAAACAAACTCAAACTCACATATGGTCCTTGCCCGGGAATCGAACCTGGACCACAGCGGTGAGGGGACAGCAGCTTAACAACTAGGCTGCCCATGCCACACAATCCCTTGTGTTTATTTAATGAATAATTAATAAATTCGATAAGGTTTGAGAGTATCATCACTGTGATTCCTCTATTATTTCAGGTTGTTGAATCCCCCAGTCCCATTGTTGAAAGCAAGCCTAAAAAACAACATCAAAGGAGTCACACAACCCCTTTACAACCTGTTGCTAAAGAGCCTAGTGGTTGGAATACAATACCATCATCAATGAAGATGAAAGAATCACATCATGTATGCTAGTATAATTATTATTAATAATAGAACAATTATATACACCGATTAATAATTCCCGAGGTTTTGTGTTCTCCGCACTTGACGTCAAATTTATTCTTTTAAATTCCTTTTGTATTGTAAAAATTTCAAAAAGAATAAGTTTGACGTCAAGTGCGGAGAACACAATAACTCGGGACTTATAAAAAGGGTGTATATATGATATCAAAGAGGCAAGATTTTGCTGTAACTCCGAGTTTCGTGCTACGCACTCATCAGACAGTATTTAATACTGTCTGATGAGTGCGTAGCACGAAACTCGGAGTTACAGCAAAATCTTGCCTCTTTGATATCATATATATAACTAGCTCTACACTTTATGTGTATTGAGAACTCTTTAATGGGATCAGCCACTTCCTCATATTATTATAATAGAACAATTATTTATTTAGTGCTGATAGTTGTTAGTATGTATCAGAAACCTATAAGGGACTTGAAGCGTGTTTCAGTTGATTGATGCGTAACAATACAGCTTTGTTTGTTCTACATTTAAAAAAAGAATATTATTAAATTATATTGTCTTATTTTTCAGAAAATTCAGGTTGTTGATCCGGCTGATTATCTCGATGTTGATACCCAGTCTTCCCCGCACAAGAAAGTCAAAAGGAGAAGACCGGTAGAAAGAAACTCCAAGCTATCAAGAAGTCTTGATTCATTGAAGGAACTTCATGGTAGGATTTCTTCTTRTTTTGTTTCCCATACACAGGGTTTGCTTCTCCTTGAAATCCTTTAAAAAAAGGCCTGGAATAGCCGACTTTAGATATTTTGGTTCGATGACTATGTACAAAAGAACGCACACGAGGCTCCKGGGAAACAATGGATAATCTTGATTTATTMTTTTRTTTCCCCGGRGCCTCGTCCGCAATTCTTTTGTGCATGGTCACTGAACCAAAATATCTAAAGTCGTCTATTGAAAACTCCTTTTAAACCTCGAATGTGTTATTTTTAATACTTTACGGAATGGAGAAATATAGGTATAAATTTTGTAGATACTTATATGATAAATATACTTTTTTGTCTCTTTTAGTCAACCAGGATATTAAAACTAAGGCAGATAAAGACACATCTACAAACAAGTCCAAGCAGTCGTCCATTTTCGGGATATTTAGAAGTAGTAAAAGAAAAACTGCCTCACTGGAYGAGAAGTCTTCCGACACTAAATCTGTCAGTAGCGTTAAATCTGCCTCGGAAAGCTCAGCWAGTAGTGTCATGATGAGCGAGGAGGATAGAGTAGCTTTAATGYTGATGGTGAAGAATGGAGAATTGACAGTCGAAGAAGCTGTACAGCAGATAGAAAGGTKGGTTGAAACTAGCCTCTAACCTCAACTTGGGTTTTTAACATAACTTTTGGGCACCCTGTGGAAACATCCACTGTCAATGGATGACATGCGCGAGTAAACTTGAAAACATTAGGCTAGTGTTTTCAAGTTTATAACTCCAAGTTGGCGCGACATAAATCAGATCGTAAACGTAAACAGATCTAGAATATTCCAAAGTGTGTCAAAAGCACCACAAAATGATTTACCTCAAAGGTTATACTTTCAAAGTCCGTTAGAGGTGAGACTGTTACTGCGCATGTCATCCATAAAGCTGTGATTCCAATCTTGCGTTGTTACTAGGTTATTACTCAGATTGTAAAGATATGAATATGAGGACCCCATGGCACTATGATAAACATGATATAGAAATAAAGAAAAGTTATAGTGCTTAGAAGGAGGCTATTCCAGGAGAAAGACCCTTGGAAATAGATTCGGAAAAAGTAATTTCCGATCTTGCTGGGATTCGAACCCATGACCCTCGGATTTGTACTACCGATGCTCTACCAGCTGAGCTACAAGGTCATCAGACTGGGAGGGGGTTGGGGTGAAGGGGTGAAATAGATGATTGGGCTAACGCAGGGAGCCAGTTATTTTAGAGAGGAAGAGACTCCTACTTAGGCTGTTGAGGCTAACCAGACGTTATGTGTTTTGAGACGTTTAGTCAGGATATATAATAAACCCTTTTAGCGATCTCTTTTACGCTGCGTTAGCCTCAAAACCATGTAATAAATTCTTTTATTAACTGACAGCCCGTGCAAATGCAAGAGATCCGTGATTATAGAAGACAATACTAGAAATCTGGTTCGAATCCCAGCGAGGTCGGAAATTAATTTTTCCGAATTTATTCCTAAGGGACTTCTCCCGGAATTGCCTCCTTCTAAGCACTATAACTTTCTTTCATTTCTATATCGTATAATACTAGAAATAGTTTGAAGTTTCACGAGTTTATCAATATTTCTGAACACTATTGCACACAATTGAGGCTAACACAGCGTAAGAGAGATCACGAAACTCAACTATTTATCGTTGTGTAATGTACGAACTACTCGCTTTACCAGGTAGTCCAGTGTTGGACTTCCCACTCGACCAGATAACCTTAATAATATTTATTCCATAAACAGCAATAATGGTACATTAGAATGATCTAAATTTAAGAGTTTAACATACAAACTTAGAAATATAACTACAGCAAGATCATACAGTAATGAAAATTTATAATTATACAATTAATGAAAATTCATTTTTGAATGACTGCTTCTTATAAAGATCTCCTTGAC